TAAATAATTGTTGTTTGACACTTTCGAATAGTACAAAATTTGGATTTGGATCTACAATAGAACTAGAACTAAACCCCTTCTAAGCTTCAGATAGCCTGTAGACTTTGTATTTACATCATCTCTCCTTCATTTCCAATTTGCTTCATCTCCTGTCTTGGACATAATTTTGCTATATCATTTCAGTAAACTAGGAGCTGCAACTTGACTTACGTGAGGCCATCAATCGTGTTTCAGTTTTATGCTGCTTTACTTTAGCTTTATTCCTCGAATTTAAAATAGCACAAGTGGACGAAACTAAAGAAAATTTGAAAGAATTACTCAAAAATATTTTTAAGTTTAGGAAACATTAAAAGCCTGCCAAATGATGCCAGTGATACATTTTATTGTGTATAATACCTCATTTTCGCTCTACCAACATTTAATATGTTTACATAATAGCTACACTTTATTCAAAAATCATAGAAAAATAACCCATTACATCATTAGACAAACCAATAAATAAAGGAAAGCTTACTTTCCAATCCGACGGCTGTATCCATCAAATACCTCCATATAGTCAAACCGACAAGTAAAGGATTCCTCCAAATGAAAATGCAGAAAGCTTAGTACTATGATTTGTTCTATGTTTGATGAGTAGACTATCCAGCTGCAATTCATGTTGTGAGAGTAGCCCACAGATTGATCGCCACTATAGGGGTCAAGTGAGGGCGGGAAGAGGATTTGCGCATAGGCGTCTGGCTTAACTCGGATTGCTCCTCCGCATTCTAAAGGAAGAGATAAAATATATTTTTAGAAAACCTTAGCTTTTGATGATTTCTAAAGCATAGTAATTATTCTTTCCTAACTTAAACAGCTTTAATAGCATAGAATTGCAAAAAAATAATGCATTCATACTTTCGACATTAAGTAAACTGAAGTAAAATGATAGAGCGCTACCTTATACAATTTTATACTGGCATACCTGTTTGTTTCGCTTAAGGAGGCGGCTGGAAGGGACTCGTAAAGCGGCCTCACCAGATACCGAAGGAGGGTAGC